ACTGCTGTGGAACTAATTTCTTGTTGTATGTTTATTTATGGTCACGATTTGAACATGATTAATGCTTAATCTGGTTGATGGTATAAAATTTGCTTTTGTTAACTTCCAATGTCTTTACTGCAGTGGAATACCCTTGGTCCTGATAGCAAAAATGAAACAAATTCATCTATTTGAGAGCTTATTGTTGGAATATATATGTTTCAAAATATATAAGTTTCAAATTTTAAATATGTTTAATTTGGTTGATGGTATAAAATTTGCTATTGATAACTTCATTCGAATGTCTTAACTACAGTGGAATAGTCTCATTCCTTCCTGATAGCAAAAATGAAAGGAGAAATTGATCTCTTCGGGAGCTTATTGTTGGAATATATATCTTTTAAAATATATTTGTAATTTTTTTAAAAATTTATATAAGTTTGAAATTTTAAATATTTTTTATGTAAGTGACTTTTAGCATTTTCAATTAATCTATTTAATTCACCAAATTTTAAGAAGGCCGTTTTTTAAGTACATTCATATGCGAGTATGATACACGAACGAATGCTATATATGTGCTTTTATCTTGGAAGTTTGGAACATGAATCATCATAGGGTGGGGAGCACTTTAAGTGCTTGGACCTTTTCACTTGGGCAGCACCACCACACTTCGAACTTTCTCTTCTTATTTAGTTGTTAATAAATTTATATATATGTATGTACGTATGTATGTATGTATAGGGGGAGGGGGGGGGGGGGGAGTGCACTTTTATTTTACCCGACTTAAAAAAACCTACTTAATACCGACTCTTCCTTAATGTCCAAGTATTATGTTATAATTAGTGTAACCCTTAATAGAAATAAACACGCATCTCTCTGCATAGCCCACGCCCCCAAGTTTTCTCATCCCCTCTCTATATATGCAAATGTTTATATATAAATATATATTTTTCATATGTATTCCCTCTCTAAACTCTTTATTTTCATCTTTTTCCAGATGAGTTATAGAGACCCGACTAACCCATAAACCCCTGTTCTTCAATTCTCAATTATTGTTCTTGATATCAAAATAAATAAATAAATAAATAAATTCATATGACAAAAAAGAGAAACGAAATAGATATGCAAACCCAATTTTTTTATTCTTCCTCTTTTTCTTTCTTGGGGTGAAAATTATAGTTGAAGATAATAGCAAAAGTCAAAATTTTCATTCCCCGCAACAAAGCCTTTTAATAAAAAAGATATTTTATAAAGAGAATGAATTTTAAGCTAAAATATGTACATATGAGTAACTTATACACAGAAAAAAGATATAACAGAAAGAGCATAAAAAGAAACCAAGAGGAAAGGGTAATTTTGTCTAAAAAAAACGTATTACATTTAATATGCCATATGAGACTTGGTATTGCGATTAGTGTATTGCCACATGAAAATCGGTTTTTATCGATATGAAAAAGTCGTCAAAAATATCATTTTTCATATATATACAAGTAATATGAGATGCTCATGCATAAGTAACTTAAAAGGCACGAATACTTTTCTTGAGGAGTCATGACGGTATCAGATACACGGACACTTCTCAAATACACGAATACGACTCGAACACGTGTCGAATACGATTAGAAGAAGTATCTTGAATAATAGATATTTTATTTTCTGGTCAGATACGACTGAGAAAAGGCATTAACGTGACTATGATACGTTTTTTACACTTTCATGATTCAGCAGGATAATTTTGTAATTATTGTTTAAAAAAAATTAAAATTCAATTCAATCTAAAATATGAGTTAATTAAAAATAATAATATAAAATTTAAGAAAAAAAAAATTTCTAATTCTAACTCCAAATTCCAAATTAGTGATATATTTATGATTATATGGATAAAATGACAAATAATATATTATTTATATATAAAAATATAAATTATATTATATTATATTTTTTGACGTATCCATCCCGTACTTGTGTGTGTATGTGTGTGTGTGTGTTTATATATATATATATATATATTTAATATTTACTGAATCAGTGTGGTCCATTAATAGTTACATTGTGACAATGACTCCTTACAAGTTTAGTGGGAGCCTCTCAACATAACCGTGTGTGAGCCTCAGCCACTTCCTTTAACAACCAGTAGAAGGTAAGGCAGTTGATGTGGTAGTCGGATGCACGATCCCTTCTACCATATTGAGTGTGTGTGTGTGTGTGTGTGTGTCTATATATATATATATATATAATATAGATAGATTTATATGTGAGCTTTGTAAATTTGTACATGTTTCAACAGATAATGCATAGTCAAATTCTACTCAATATTTCAATTTGCTATACGGTGGAAGAGATGGTGCATAGATTTACAAAAGCTCACATTTAAAGGCTTGTTTGGCAACCTGCTTATATTTTTTGCTTTTGTCGTATTATTGTGAAGCAACACGATGCTTGTTTGATAACATTTGCTGCGATTTAAATAGTACCAAAACGCTTTCGAAAAAGAGACCAAAATCGGAAATAAAAAATTAAAACTTTCATACTGTAGCAAAAACATTGTTCATAAAAAACAAACAAAAAAAACAAAAAACAAAAAACAAAACCTCTAAAATGACATTTTTAACTGGTCATTTAAAATTTTCAAATTTGTAACACTTTTTTACCAAACATATTTTCATATTTTTACTTTCAAAAATCTTACCAAACATGCTTCCAAATAGTATTATAAATACTTTCAAGCAAAATATTGCTTCTGCTTCTGCTTCATGTCTAAGAAACTGTGATTGCCAAACGAGTCCAAAATCCATCTATGAGTATGGATCTCTTGCTCACCGGTGTGTAAGAATTTCATTCACACCAGATTATGGATGAAAATAGATAGTTGCCTAAAAAAAAAAAAAAAACATAGCAATCATATCACTACGCATGACGTTGATGAATTTCTCGCTAACAATTGAGCAAGATATCATTTTTGTTTATATACATACATAGAGAGAGAATATACAAACACACTCACATGGAGAGAGAGAGAGAGAGAGAGAGAGAGAGAGAAGCATAGGTGAGTAGCTTGGTTTGGAATTTGTCAACAAGAGAGTTGGTGAGTGTGGTAGATTGGATTTAGGTTTGGACAATTTCGAAACTAATTTTCTGCTTGAAAATTTTCTGAAGGCGGACTTGAAAGGGCGCGAAAAGTCTTTACTATTTGGCCACATCATATTCAAATGAGAGAGATCATGTCTTATATGGTTGAAAATGCAGAACTCCCAACTGCCTAATGTTCTCTTGTTCCATTGTTAAACCCAACTTCACAATAAATAGAAAACACCATCTAATCTCAATATTGCAAACGCACTCCCAAATTCAACTCCTATCACGAGTTTCTGCATTATCTTATATTAACAAGAAACTCACACACCTACTTTTGTCATCACAGAAACTTGAATTATCTAAACTAAACCCTCGTGAATTCATGTGAAACAACAAAATCTCTCAGACCACGTAACGAAACACACCAAACCTTTTCATGGAAGTAATAGTAGTTAGATCCAGCTGAGGTACAATACTAGATATATGGAAAGAATTTGAGGGTTTTCTCTTGAAAAAAGTGTACTTTTTTAAAATATAATATCTTCATTGCCGCTTATCAAGCAATTCTTGTATATACTGCAAGAACATGCAAATCTTGACCACTGTAAGAATGCTAAATATTATTTCATACACAACAAGAAATCCATAATAAATTAATAATGATCTAACCGATCATTTCAAAACAATTGCAATATTGAAAATAATGTTACAACCTTAGTATCAATATGAAACATAACCTTAAATTTCTTCTAAGAGACTGGTGATCATTTCAAAACTATTGCAATATTAAAAACCAATGAGTCATGCCAATAAAATTTTAAAATGATAGAAGTGATTAGGACCTAAAGCAACAGTATTGAAAATATCTATTTGAATCTATTAAGACAAAAAAAAAAAAAAAAAAAAAAAGGATGTTTAGGAAAAAAGTGAATTTATTGAAGGATAAAAAGGGAATGAGTACAGCAGTAGTTAATTCAATTCATGGTACATAGTGAGGCCATTATGGTAGTCTCAGCTGCAGTTGCAAAACAGTGTTTTCAGTACAATTGAATGGTGGATTGGATTAAAGAAGAGAAATGATTCAATCATACTGCTTGAACCAGAAAAACAAAGGAATACACCAATTCTATGAGGTCATTTATTGAAGGTGACCCATCCATATGACCTTAGAAAATTAGGTTTGAATTACTTTCCGAGAAAAAAAAAAAATTAGGTTTGAATTTTGAATCATTGGTAGAGGGGCAGAAAGGCCACAATATCCTGAAAATTCTTGGTATGCTTATTTTACCATTGAGTCATGCCTTGGAGCAACCGTATGGCTATGCTTTTGCTCCATTGTGACCTAAAGATCACGGATTCAAATCAAGAAACAGCCTAAAAACCCTAGGAACAGTCTTTGCATGCGAAAGTAAGACCGGGTATATCTGACTCTCCCCAAACCCTACAAAGGCACGAGCCTCGTGCACTTGATTAGACCTTCATACTCATTTTACCACCAAAGGACAAGCTTATTTAACCATCATTTTGGAACAAGACTTTGTCCCTTCTTTTTCTAATGAGATTCAATTCCCCAAACCCAAACACTAGAAGTTGAATTCCCCTAAAATTTCCATGTGTGCTTAGAATAAGATCCAATGACTTCATCAGCACATTTCTTGACCAAGTGAAAACAGAATAATTGAATAAAGCAAGAGGATATCAGTATCTTTTTTCTCATACAACTTTACAAATCTGAACTAAATATAGTTAGTTACAGAATGAGATAAGACACTTTTCATCTTTCTAAAATCATTCAATACACAATTTAGTTGAGGTTATATAATAACTAACAACTTAAAAAGGCATCAAACAATGAGAACAAGAAACTAAATTTGAGGTTATATAATTACTAATAACTTTAAAAGGAAATTAAAAAAAAAAAAAAAAATGTGAGGGAGAAGACAAAATTTCTAGGCTTCAATCAATGAAAAATTTCATTGAGTTTAATTTTATTTTCTGAGGTTGTTGAATATACAAGAACACCACAATATTAAACACTTGTATAACAATCATTAACATTTGTAACACCAGTTCTGTAGGCAGTTTGGCTGCTACAGTGGTAGTTGATTGCTAAAATATCCAAGTCAAAATGTACACGTCTGTATTTTTCCTGGTACGTAAACTTATGATGCAAACACAGGAACTGCATAAATACTCCATATAAATATAAATATATATATAACGGAAAATTTATATATCACCTTCATTCAATGAAATATCACCATCAAGCAAAGTTTCTCCGATTTCCAGCAAACAGATGTAAACACTGCTTCACCAACATCATTCTATTGTCCTGATGAAAACAAGTTAATGATTATGGCTTTATGAAAACAAACATTCTGAAACAACGTAAAGGACATCTCAACATTTGACTGGTGGTTCTATATTCCATCAAAGTTGTAAGACTGTACGACAGGCAGAATTGAAAGATTCAACTACCTTCACCAAGAAGTTCAATATTGGCAGCGGCAATCAAACCCCATCCGTGCTTGTTTTGAAATGGCTACATCAGTTCCAACGTTGAATAATTAGACGTCCGTGATATGACATCAAAAAACCGTTCGCCCTTGTCCATTTAGCGGTACACTCATCCATCACTCTCCTATTAATACATAAGGCTTGAGTTTGTGGACATGGAATCACCATTCAGTAAATTCATCAATTATAATATGTTAAAATGGCAGTACTTACTATGATCAAGCAAATGACTGGCACTTGCAGCTGCAAAACCATTGAAAGGAATAGATGAAGTGTGTGAAATGTTTTTAATTCTGTTTCGTCTGAGAGAATTTGGGTCTATTCCTGCTTTATGAGCTGAAATCACACCTATGGCTTCCCAATAGTTTGAGACCTTGAGCTGAAAAAAAAAAAAAAAAAAAATGGGAAAGAAAAATTCACACTCCTTAGTAACCAAATGTTTGAAATTGTGATTGAAGCAATTTCAAGAGAAAATGAGTACCAGTTAAATAGGTAATTTCTGGAATAAAAGTTTTAACATTCACTAGAATGATTTTAAACGACCAATTAGGTGAAAGATATAGCACCTTTTTTTTTTCCTTCCTAGTTGGTGGTACTCACACATCCCCCCTCAAGGAATTGTTTGCACCCAAGAGAATTCGAACCTTAGACCTGATGCTTCATGAGGCACCAGGGCCAAGTTCTTATCCACTTGAGCCAACCCCTTAGGATTAAAGATATAGCACTTCACCATCATTGGTGAAGAAGCTTATATACAACCTTCGCTTATCAAAACAATAAAATAATAATAATAAAATAAGATATAAAATATAAAATATAAAATAATAAAAAAATCTTACACACAACCTTTGAGATGGAAATTTTTTAACTTCAGTCAGAAAGCAAGTTGTGTGTGCCATTTAGAGGAGTCACTTGAACAATTACGGCTAAGTACATGGCAAGTACAGCATATCTAAAAAACTGTGTAAGCCGGCGAGAACAATACATATCAAGTAGTGACAAATGGCTTGATTTGAGATTTCTAATTCAATGACCAAAGGAAGCCAATCTTCACTCGAAAAAAAACCTTGGCGACTTGAGTGAAGTTGGTCTAAACCAAAAAGGTATCAGGAATATTGTAATGATATTTAAATGCATACCGTTTCTATCCCGAGTTTCTCTGGTGTATCACAGAGAACTGTTTCATTCTCCTCCACAGTAATTACAAGGGGCTGTACAAAAGTCATTGTAAGTAATTACAAGAGACAAGTAGCTAAATAAAATTGCTCGTAGCAAAATAAGAAAATAATGCAGAAGTGCTAGATAAGAACAACTGATTGTAATATTAGGTCAAACTTCTCTTCCCACATCTAGTGACATTTCACATCATTAAGCAACTTAGTTAACGTAATAAATTTGTACCTTGTTTCCTTTGCTATTCGTGAATGCATAAGCACCATCTCCTCCACAAGCATCTATAGGAAGAATGACACTATCAACATCACTCGCCAATATACAACCCTTTTCCAAGGATTCAGAGTTCTTGACTAAGTACTGTGGTGCATTACTTAGCCCAGCAACCACACATGGCAAAAATGTGTACCCAATCTGTTACACAGGATTCAATTTAAAAATTAGAGAGAGAGAGAGAGAGGAGCTGAATAAAGAAACACATCTGACCAGCAAAACAATAGTCATGGTAGACAAGTGTGTTAATAGTTTAACTGAGATCATGAAAAAACCACAAGTATGTTTCTTTGTGTCCAATGTTCTATATTTGATTAACAAATAATAAAACAAAATTTTCTTTTTCTAAACATTCTTTGTGCTATGTAACATTATGCATTCTTCACTATTAAATTTTAAGGACAAATAGCCCAACAGAACCCATTCTGCTATTCCCATTAAGTTTGTTCTGCCGGAAAACAAAATCAAGAAGAGAAATAAGGTTCATCCTATTGCAGGAGAATGTCCTTCTGATTGTGATATTACTGATTAATAAAATTGAAGAATTTCATAATTTTGTATCAATGATGAATTATACTCGGCATATTTTCCAAAAAAATATAATCAATATTTATAGTCTTTTTTCTTCTCTCTTTATTCTTTTTCTTTTTCTTTTCTATTTTTCTTTTTTGAATAACAATAATAAAATAAAAGAGGCTTCCATTGCCAAACTGGTTAGGGTTTGTTATTAAAATTTGTATATCCTCATCCTGAAAGAGCAACAGCTTCAGATTTTAGGTTTCTCAATCCCATCACCAGATCTATTTCCCATCAGACTTCCAGTAGAGCCTCCAATTGACCAGAAAAAACCCTTCAGCTAATGAATGAAAATTTATTTTCTTCAAACTCCATCCACATCATTTTTGTTTCCCTGACCACATCACCAATCTTCTAAACTCAAGCCCCGATGTTCACAACTCAAGATGAGTTAAGGAAAAGACACATAACAGAAAATCCACCTTTTTAGGCATATTCATGCATGCAGATGTTTTTTTTTATTTTCTTAGAAGATTTTTCTCACCTCTTCGGCAGCTGACTTTGGACATAATGACATGCTTAAAGGAGGTGGGGATAGTGCAGGAGCATGTGCACAGGGGATCCTGAATTCCTTCACCACCAGATGGCTGATAACTGCCTCCACTCCTGCCAAAAGATCTATTCCCTGCATGGTAAAAAGCATTAAGTGAAGTGAGATGATTTTGGAGTATTAAATGACAAGACATGGCTTTAATCTGAGAGCAAATAGTGAGCATTCACATAAATGATACAAACTAGAAAAAAGTATATACAACTTGCCATTACCATCCATAGCTGAGGAAACATATTTAAAATTTTCAAATCCTTTTCAATGTTAGATGATGAAAGGAAGTTAATCAGAAGCTATCAATTTATAAAAATAATAACAATAATAAATAGATAATAGGAAGTCTCAAAGCCACTGACAATGAGAAAATTCAATTATAATGTTGGTAGTAGTATGGAAACTCTCAAGGCCAAATCGAGATAAGGAATAGCAAAGTATGATGCTGAGGGAAAGGATCGTATTATATTTGGAAAATTATCAATAATATTAAAATTCGGTGATATTTGAGAACATGAATTTTAAATATAGGAAATAATATAACCCCCTAATGGAAAAAGGTGGTGTAGAATATGGAACTTTGAAATTTAAAAAATATTATATACAATATGCCAAGCAATATTAGGGCCGCAATAGAGTCAAGCCTAGCATCTTGCCATTCAAGCTCAGCTTGATCAAATCAAACAGTTGTTCAAGCTCCGCTCGAGCTTGATAAAGCCCAGATATAAATGTTCAGGATCAACTTGGATACTGTTCCCCAAGCTCGGCCTCAACTTCATCATCATCATCCTTATTGCCTTAATCCCATATTAATGGGGTCAGCTACATGAATTCTCTCTCTCCAAACTTTTTTGTTACATACCATTTCACCTACTATATTTAACTTTTTAAATTCATTTTAATAACCTCATCCCATGTTATTTTTTATTGCCCTCTCCGTGTCTTACATTCTATTTCAACTAGGCTTCCTCATTTGACCAGCGTGTCACTAGGTCTCTGATGTAAGTGTCCAAACCATCTAAGTCTACATTCGCTAATTTTCTCTTAAATGGGTACCACGCCTAATTTCTCTCTCTTTCGTTAGTGACCCTATCTCTTCTAGTAACTCCACTCATCCATCTTGACATTCTCATTTCCGCTACATGAAGGCATTGTTCTTGTTTCTTTTTAAAAATCCAACATTCCGCTTCATACAACATAGTTGGTCTAATAACGGTCCTATAGAATTTTCTTTTTAGCCTATGTGTAACTCTTTTGTCATGTAATATCCCACTAGCTTGTCTCCATTTTGTCCAACCTACTTCAATTCTACTAGTTATATCACTATCTATCTCTCATCAATCCTAGATGGCAAAATTGGTTGTTTTGAGTAATCTTTGGTTTTGAAGTGTTATCATTATAATATCACTGTCCGAATATTTATTAAACTTTAACTCCATATACTCGGTTTTAGTTCGACTAAATCTCAATCCTTTCGATTCTAGAGCATTTCTCCACCTTTCTAGTTTTATTGTTAAGTTTTCTTTAGAGGTATCCAAGAGCACAAAGTCATCGGCAAACATCATGCATCATAGAATCTCGTTTTGGAAGCTCGGCCTCAACTTGATTAGCTCATTTAGCAATTGAACTAGAGCTTAAGCTTAAGGTCAAGCTCAAACCCTAGTTTGAGATAGAGCTCGAACTTGGTTTGGAGCTTAAAATTGATTGGGAAAAAAATTGGTTATAAAATCAAACAAACCCTAATAGACCATCCATCGTCATGAACCTTAATGAGCCAACTCACGAACACCTTTCCCAAACATGTTTGGAAACCTAAGAACCTATAAAGCCGAGCAAATGGTTGTCCAGGCTTTGCTTGTTAATTAAGAGCTCAAAAGTGTAGTTCAAGTTCAGCTCATTTACCTAGACCAGCACAAACCAAGCTCTTATTGAGTCAAGGCTGAGCTGTTCATGTAACATGATAAACCTTTCCACACTACTTATGGAATTCGAAAATAACTCTACAAGATATGATGGGAGGACACTGGTGGAGTTGACCAGCATTTTAGTTATAAAGAAGCATGGGATCCATTTATTTAATTGTCATACCATCCCTTGCCTATAATCATCCATATCTTCAATGTCATCATCTGGGAAGCGTGCCACAACTGCAATGGCATTTACCGAAAATCTGTCAACTAATATCTGCACAGCTCTCAAAAGTGAATCAGGATGTTTTATTCTTCCGGTTGATTGCCCACTCTTCGGATCAACCCATTTCTCTACCTGAAAAGAAGTATTGTGTATCATGTTAAGGCAGTCATCTTGGTGGTGAAATTTAAAGTTCATACAGCGTCAAATACCTAAAAGATGCAACCAAAACATTTCGGTAATGAAAGGACAAACATGACACGTCAAGTGATTATCTCATCAATTATGATAGCATGAGTGATTTTCCATAAAAAAAGCATAAACCATAAAGAGCTTAAGATATATATTAAATATTTTAAATAATAGCTTATTTTCCTTGTTATAGAAGCAAATTTCTTCTTTACAAATTTAGTACAAGTTAAACTGCCCATGTCAAGGAAATCATAAGTGGATATGCGTTACATCCCCGAGTGTTGATAATACATCATGCTCAAAGAAGTTTATAAATGAATTTCTGACCAATAATGCAATTAACCATGCAATAATTTGTAAGCATACTTTCGTCTTTATAAACTTTTACAATACTTAAAAAGTGCCCATATTATTGGAAAGTTCAATTTGAGTCCATTCATCTCTAATTCTTTTAGCATAAAAATACAGTCACCTGTAAATGGGTGTCAGTGACAATGTACTGAACAATGGGCAATCCAAGGGAAGCTCTTGTAGCATCAACCACTTGCAGCTGTCGAATACGAAGCTCTTCCTCAATTCCAGCATCAAGAACCAATCCCACCTGTTTCCCATCATGAACTAACAATATAATTATATGCTAAGCAGCAAGGAAAAGGTGTACCTGCCCTGAAAGCAAACTTGCAGACCAAACACAGAAAAAGAACGAGGGAACAAATGAAAACATAGAGACTCAAACCCAAGACCTCCAAGAATCTAACCCTAAGAGCTTAAGCTATTAGAGTATGGACCTAGCAATGTACAATAGATTCCAACATATTTAGAACACCAGTTGCTTCAACAATGAATATCAAGCTCCAACACCCAGCATCACATGCAAACCCCATCTTGCACATGCCGAGGCAAACAGATCAAACTGAAACAAGGACAAAGTGCAAAATTGCAAACCAAACTAAGGATATGGAAACTTGAACTCAAGACCTCCCAGAGCCAAAGCTTTTATACTACAGAATGGGTCAATCAAGAATATGATTCTCCATTGAAGAAGCAAAGTAAAGAAAAGCTCAGGAAGTGCACCCGATTTTGGTGAACTGGCTGTAGTGCCCATACACCTTCTGCAAACCGATCAAGAGCATGACCCTCAACATATAGTACATTTGGCATTGGCCAGTAAAGCATCGCTGCATTAAGAACCTGTAAGGATTACAATCTTAAAAAGGGAATAGGTAAAGTATGCATAAGCAAAAGCATCACTAACTATCCTGACATTAATGAGCACAACTATCAAGCTTGATAATATCCAAATTGTCTAGAGAGGTACAATTATTTGATCCATCAGATCATCGATCAAAGCTGCTACAGTGAACATAGAGATGTTGAGGTGATACGGATATACAGAAAAAGATTTCATAAACCAAGCATATCATTTGGTTTAAGTTATTCACATTATGTATCAAATAACGAAACAGCTGTTGCAGCATTATATAAAGAAAGTGAGAATTAAGCCCTCACTTATATCACCTAACTTCAGATAAGCCACACATCTCACACCTTGATGCCATGATTGAATTTGAGGCAGACTGGCAGTAGCTTTCTTCATTGTCTAAGATACCATTTTTTTTACTTACAAAAAGTAGCTCTGTATACTTTCTTTTTTATTTTATTTTTAAAGAAAAATATCCATTATAAAAGTTATGCACTTTCGATTTTTGTAACATGACAATACATTGAAGATAATTTATGTCCTAATAATGTATTTCAGGTCCAGTTTTGAGCCTATCTTTCATGTAATTCACATGTTTTCTTCTGCATATTTAGGCAAAGGGGTTGAATTTGAACAACCATCAACCTTAGTACATAATCAGAGTCCATGAGATAAACAATGGTCAAATTCCATCTAATTTGACAGCCGAATTTTTGTGTCCGTTGCCTGAATTGTTTCACATTTGAGTACAAGGTTTAAGCTCACATTTGGAGGTGTTCTAATGTCCCAGTTAACAACCACACCTTTTGAAGATTCAATCTGTCGTTGCTATATCATGGGTCATACGCATAGTGAGTGAAAACAAGTTTCTTTTTAACTTTTACTGTAAAAGAGTGCTTCATTTACTGCTAATTTTTAATGCCCATACCTTAAGAACCCACTTATCCTAATTTTCCACTTTTTGGTTTGTTTACTTGAAATTATTAAGTGGGATTATCCATTTGGGGCGGGATTAACTTACCTGGTTCAAGAATAGGAATCATTGGATCCTTATACGCTTTCGGCACAAATTGCCCCGTTTTTTTTTTTTTTTTTTTTTTATATAAGTAGGATTGCATTAGAAATCGTTCAAAAGGAGAACACATCCCTCAAAAGCTACACAAGGCCAAATAGGGCCTCTAAACTCTCAAAGAGTCCAAAAAATCAACTATCTTCCCAGTGGATTTACAATATCTCCCTAGAACCCAACAAAAAAGAGTGCTAATAATGGAGAACTTTAGCGCTTCAATAGGAGTCTCCTCTCCTTCGAAGCATCTCCTGTTTCTTTCAAGCAATAAACACAACCAAATGCACAAAGGCGTAAACCGCCAGAAATTGCGGGCTTGGGCCCCCACTGGACACCCTCTCGAAGCCTCCATCAAGCCTCTCGAGGACCTAGGCATAACCCACTGGACTGGACCCAAACAAACCCAACAAAAAACTCCAGCTATCCCATGCCAAAGGGCAATACAAAAGAAGTTGACCTACCGTCTCCTCATCTCTCTTACAGATGCAACACCAATTAACCACAACCTGTCTCCTCCTCACGTTATCTAAAGTTGGAATCCTCCCAAGAACTGCAATCCATGCAAAGAAGGCCACCTTGAGGGGAGCCTTAGAATGCCAAACAACCTTCCATAGGAAAGGATGCCCTAGGACATCCGACAGGCACCTATAAAGAGACCGAACATCAAAGCATCCCTGTGAAGAGGGAACCCACACCAGAGAGTCCAGCTCACCACCCACAACACCTTGGCGATACAATAGCTCCAAAAACTCAATGGCATCCTCAATCTCCCAATCTTGAAAATGCCTCAAAAAATGCACATCCCAGTTTGCTCAGCCGATAGCAATCAACCACCAAGGCGAAAGAGCCTAGGAAAAGTGGATGCAAGAGAACGATCACCACACCAAATGTCCTTTCAAAATCAGATCTCCCTACCATCCTAGACTCGGAATCTAATGTGTTTGGAAAATTCATCCCACCCCTTATTAGTCCATCTTTGCAACTACATATCTTCATCGTGTTTATCATGCATAATAAATTTCAAGTCAATCATGTATTTCTTCATCGTGTCTCTTAATAAAATATTACTAAAATAAAACTCTGATTTACTTTGTGTTGAAGGATTTAAATATTAAAGTTATACCCTCTCTAAAAGCTTAAGCTTTTAGAGTAAATGGTTGTTAAGATGGTACTAGGGCAAAAGGTCTCATGTTCAAACCTCACCGTCATGTTGGTAATTAAAAAGAAGGCCACACTTGAGGGGGCGTGTTGAACGATTTAAATATTAAAGTTACACCCTCTCTAAAAGCTTAAGCTTTTAGAATAGATGGTTGTTAATATTATGTTTCTAATTAGCCAATTTTAAATCTCCTGTTCATTTGAGTTTTGGAATTTGTCGAGTATCATTACTTCATGCCATTTAAATGGTGACGCGTGGCAGCCATAATTAACATGCCATGAGAATACAAGCCTTATTTAAATATTAATCTTTTATTTTCTTTTGGCCTTAGGTATGCCTTAGGCCTTTTGCTTTTGGCTTTTCAGCTTTATTCCGTACTCTGTTGTATTAGCTTTGGTTTCAATAAAACTCAACACAATCAGGAAAAAAAAAAAATGAAAGTCATAACTCGATGAGGTATTGATTAAGAAAATTTCCAACACATGACAGTGAATCCTAACAATAAATGCAGCAAGTTTATCCAAACTTCTTGTGGATTCAACAAGGCTACCCGTTTGTCCATGTATTGAGTCTTGTTAATCTTTTATTTTCTTTTGGCCTTAGGTATTCCTTAGGCCTTTTGTATTTGGCTTTTGATCTTTATTCTGTACTCTATTTATTATCTTTGGTTTCAATAAAACTCAACACATTCAGGAAAGAAAAAAAACGAAAGTCATAACTTGATGAGGTAGATTAAGAAAATTTCCAACACGACAGTGAATCCTAACAACATATGCAGCAAGTGTCGATTAAGAAAATTTCCAACACAACAGAGAATCCTAACAATATATGCAGCAAGTTTATCCAAACTTCTTGTGGATTCAGCAAGGCTACCCGTATTGCCGATCTCAACTGGACTATTCAGCACCACTGTATTGCAATTATTTAGAATTCCAATTATTTAAAATACGTCTAATCAACTTCATACTTCATGAAACGTTTCCAATTTGATTTTTAACTTTAATAGGACTTGAACTAGGATTTTTGAACTCTATATAAACAAGTTTTAACTTTTAAGGATGTTTAGAGTCTAGTACACAGTCCTTTGTTCAATCCTACTCTTCAAAGGATTTTTACAAAGCACTGCTTGCTTTCTGGTTAATCAGCTTCATACTTCATGAAACACTTGGTTTCTGAACTCTATATAAACAAGTTTTGAAGATTGTTAGTCTTACACACGTAACCATTGCTCAAATCCTATTAAAGGGCAAACCCAGTGCACGAGGCTCCCGCCATTGTAGGGCCTGGAGAGAGGGTCAGATGTGCTCAAATCCTATTTTTCAAAGGATTTTTATAAAGCTCTGCTGGCTTTTTGGTACTCGACTTGCATACACACATTTTGAAAGCATTTTGTTTATCAGTTGACACACTTCTATACGAGAATGTTAGCTTGAGTGTACTCATAATCGTTCAAGAAAATGAACTTCATATGGTAATTTAAAGATTGATCAGAAATAGATTTCATCTATCTTCATCAACTTCATCAAGGAGATCATAGCATAATCACTATTTGAGGACACGTCGAGACAGTTACTAGCATTGATGGATAACATGGGTTTTAGTAGAAATATAAAAAGGAGGAGGAGAGAATATGTAAAAGGTTTGAATGAGATATAAATTACTTATTCACAGCTCTAGTATTTATAGATAAAAAGAGCACATGCTCATATTACAAGAAATGAAACTGAATCAAATCACAAGATATTCTATGGCATATTCTATAGCATAATCAAATCTCTACTAATATAATATGGTAAGTCATTCCATAAATCATAGCTATCATATATGCTAATATATGCATAATCAAATCTCTGCTATTATGGCAAGTCATTCCATAAATCGTGGCTATCATATATGCTTACAGTCCCCCTCAAGTTGGTGCGTGGATATCTGAAACGCCTAACTTGGACAATGCATTCTTAAACACAATCTTGCTGACGCCCTTTGTAAAAATCTACAAGTTGCAGAGTGAAAATCTGACTAGCAATGATTTTCTCTCAAATGAAGTGCCGATCAACAAATCAAAAATGTCTCCTCAAACCATAAACAACCAATCATGTCTCCTTAAACCATAACCAACCAACAATGTCTCCTCAAACTATTTCCCTTCACATGTTTAAAACATGTAGATGGAAGAATCAACAATGTCTCCTCAGACTATTCCCCTTAATACATATGTTTAGACAATGTAGATAAAAGAATCAATAATGTCTCCTCAGATCATAAAAAAGAATAACTATGTCTCCTCATATCATAAAAAAGAAACAACTATGTCTCCTCAGACCGTTTCTGAATGCCAAACTCGCAACGCCCTCATTGAGGTCGAACCGCCCTGCCTACTTGACACCTTCTGGATGGGCATTAGACCATTCCCGAATGGGTGGTACCGAACTCACAATGCCCTCATTGCAATCGGACAACCCTGGCTCTGATACCAAGTAGAAATATAAAAAGAAGAAGGAGAGAATATGTAAAAGGTTTGAATGAGATATAAATCACTCATTCACAGCTCTAGTATTTATAGATAAAAAGAACACATGCTCATATCACAAGAAAGGAAACTGAATCAAATTTAAATCAAATCACAAGATATTCTATGGCATATTCTATAGCATAATCAAATCTTTACTAATATGGTAAGTCATTCCATAAATAGTGGCTATCATATATGCTAACATATGCATAATCAAATCTCTGCTATTATGGTAAGTCATTCCATAAATCGTGGCTATCATATATACTAACAGTTTCAAACTTTCAAATACTTAACTTCTTAGAGAAGAAGAATTAAGATATAATGAGAATATATCATTTCTAATCTAGCCCAGTCCATATCCATGCAACATAGCTCTATACCTTTTTATATGATTATTATTATAACAAGATAGAAATAATGAATATTTGATAGATTCACAAATAGTTTTTCCCATAATATTTTTTATAAGGAAATGCTAGTCATAACAAATATATATAACCTAACAATTATTATTTTATAAATACACATACAAACATATATATTTTTAAATTTTCATAAAAATGTGCGTAGGTACAATATATACACACATATAAACTGTAATATCATTATGAATCCATATCTTAAGAGACGGATCTATAGTCTATACACATGGATCCCTCCCCTTGACCACATGCATTCAAACTTCAAGCAAATGTTTTGTGCAACTCAATACTATGTATGGAATGACTGGGTTTGTCAAGATCGAATAGAATTTCCCTAAAAAAAAATCTGATTTCCAATTGTTTGGAATGTGGGGATTCAAAATCAGAAGTGTATTTGAATTCATCAAAACCCCATTTCCATAAAACGGTGGCATTTGAAAGAATTGGGTTTGAATTAAAGAAGAGTCTTTTGTTTAACCATTTCCTGCCTACTTCTTTTAAGACATACAATGACAAAAATTACAAGGGATTCTTTCCTAACTCTATCTACCACTAAAAATAAAAAGGGAATTGAGATAACTAGATAAGATGTGAGCACAACTAAACCACATGAAAGTGATGAATTATAGCTCAATTACGCTTGCAAATATCAAAAGAATGTAGAGAGAGAAAACATACATTAGGATGTGAGATAAGGCAATCAACGACAGAGGCGAGGGTTCGAGCCACGGGCAAAGCGTCGCCAGCGAAGCCGCCAATGGAAGCTCCAACGCCTGTTGGGACTATCATCACACTTGTGTATGGCCTCTTGAACTGTTCAAAACCTCCCAAACAACACCTCATTACAAACACACACATATAAGACAAAGGATGAGAGTGAAGTTGACTGACCTTGTTTGGGTTATTGAAGTTCGAGCATGAGATTCGAAGCTCATTGCGTCGCCGGAATACAGGGAGGGAGTTGTGGTACCGGCAAAGCGCATTGCCGTCGGCGATGGAGGGAAATGGACGGCTGTAATGGAGTAGTGCCGTTTCCGATATCGAGATTGTATTTATCATTTTATGGTGTGTGGATAACAGTATATTTTCTTTTTCTCTTTTTTTGTAGCTACGATGCCTTTCAGCTGGAGGCTGAGAGTGGTATTAGATTAAGGACCGGTCTAACTCAAATATCAATTATAACGGGTGAAAAATTTGCTCATTTAGTTCAACCTATTAAGTAGTATTACATATCCACCTATTTATACATGATCACTTTCTCATTCGAATTTCATGTGGGACAAATAACCCTTGTCAAAATGGGTTCAGAACACTTAGATATACATATTTTACTTTAAAAAACAATTCAAACTCGAACAAATTTAAGATAAATTTTGTAAAAAAAAATTAGTATAGCCAAATATTTAACAATTATAATTACAAAAATATTGTTAAAATCTTCATTTATCATAAAAACTAAAAGAAAAAGAAAAATTATAGTTAATAAAATAATTTTTTTATATATTTATTATTAATCGGGGGCTTTGCAAGTTTTAAACTATTTTTCTAAACCCGCCTCTAATTAAGATGATTCCAAACCCATCCCAACAGTAGCGGGACCAGGCGAGTTAATATTTTTATATATATTTATTATTGAGTGTTCAAGTCCCCATAAAAGTAGGCACGGACCCATGTTATACCCAAGGAGCAATTGTCCCTCCTAAAAAAAAAAAAAAAATCACTATTATGCCCCACTCTTTTTACCATTTTGATATATATACTTATGAAATATTACCATTGCCCCACCTGAAATTCACTATTAAAAAAATTCACTATTATGCCCCACTCTTTTGGGGTTTAGATCCTTGGGTCACTTTATATCTAGGCAAGATTGAGTCCAAACTAATTACCACATGCCAAAAAGAATAGTTAGTTGGGTTTGGGCGAGTTGAGCGTGTGGGCTATTGACTGTGTCCATGTTATTTAGAGTCTTCGTAAAAAACCCGACCCAAATCGAATCTAATCGGACATGGGCTAAGCCCAATTCAGTGGAAACATAATGGTTTAGTTCAATTCGAAGGGTTCTGTCCTAAACATGCACAAGTGGATCTATAAATGCTCAGGCTTAAGAATGGGGTTCTAATTCAATTCAACTCTTATTTCTCTCCTTTCTTTTGAACCTAAGCCTAGTCCTATATCTAGTAGACTAGTATTCTTTCGGTCCGAGCCAGTGGTTCAATCATATTCAAGTCGATTTTTAATTCAATTCAACTGTGCGAGGTTTTTGGCCTCTAGTAAATAACTTATATTTTTTAGAAATAAAATTAAATGCACCTTCAAATGCCACCTAATCATCCACACATAGCCTATATTGGCAAAATTTACATCTAAACACTATAAATTCTAACAAATCTCACTCAATGCCAATAATTAACCATTATAATCCATTGAAATACACCATTAAACATATCAAAAGACGAAAGACATTTTCAAAATTCATCATTATTCAATGTGCATAAATAAATAAATAAAGGAAATCCATCGGTCAAAAATATCATCATTCTATCTCCTAACACTCTTGTTATGTTCAATTATCATTCAATTCAAAAACCTAGAACTGCTATTCACTCCAATACGTCAATCTTCACATTGTTTATATCCCGGCAAAAGTTGACTTTCAATCTCTCATACACTCTCTTGATTTTCATTGTCCATGATTCAAAATTCAAGCAAGTGGTTGCATCACACAAGTTTCAATTTTAGTATGTTAATAATGTTAACAACTAGAAGGGAAAAAAAGATATATATATATATATATATATAAAGAACATATAATAGAATGATACTGCTATGCATTCTAACGTTGCTATATGTTTGGATTGACATTTTAATTCATTATATGCTAAAAAATTGGAAAACTCTGTTCCAAAGAAGAAACATCAACAATAATCCTAAGATGTTTGTCTCCTTGTGAAAATTGTCAAACTTTATTTTTTATTAGGGGGTTAATTTAACATATTTCTTTATATACATGTATATATGTATGTGTGTGCGAGTGCTATTTGTCAAGGGGCTCCTATAGAAAAAGGTTGTACTCTAGATTGCCAAATATACATATATATATACATTCATGTTCCTGCACTTATGACTGATGGGAGAAAAAATTTTGTACTCGGAAATACTAATAACAATCAATTAGAAAAAGCCATCTATGTACAATTTAATTGTATTTTTATATATAAAGGCAAGTAAAAATATTTGCTTGGTACAATTGATATCTTTTACTATTCTTAGAATTCCACAACTCTACAGGTATATGTCAAATATTGGAAAAGGTGGAGATGATTTGTGGAAGATACTGTATATTCATTTTATATATTCTGTAATGGCTATACACGATGGTGCATATATACAAGAGAATAGCTACAATCAAGGTTACAATCACAGGCATATAGAAGGAAAATCAAATCAAATAAAATCTGCCATATTAATCCTAAGTTGACCCAGGAATTGTGCTGGCTATATGGCAAGACTCCCCCTCAAGGTGGAGTGTGGATGTTGTGCACACCCAGCTTGCGGATGAGAAAATTAAACTGACTGGAGCCCAACGGTTTGGTGAAGAGATCGCCAATCTGATGAGAAGAAGAGACATGAAGAGTGCGAACAATACCGGCTTGCAATTTTTCGCGAATGAGATGGCAGTCAATTTCTATATGCTTGGTGCGCTCATGGTAGACCGGATTTGCAGCAATGTGCAAAGCAGCTTGGTTGTCACAGAATAAGAGAGCAGGTTGGGGGTGTGGTATCTGTAAAGGATGCAACACATTTAACAACCAAGTGAGTTCACAACAAGTGGAAGCCATGGCACGATACTCAGCTTCGGCAGAAGAACGGGAGACAGTACTTTGCTTCTTGGATTTCCAAGAAATAGGAGATTCACCAAGGAAGACGCAATACCCGGTAATAGATCTGCGAGTGTTGGGACAACCAGCCCAATCAGAATCGCAAAAAGCTTTAAGATGAAGTGTAGAGCATGATGGAAAGAAAATGCCTTGACCCGGAGTTCCTTTGATATAGCGAATAACCCGTGTGGCCACATCCATGTGGGGTTGTCGAGGGCTATCCAGGAATTGACTCAGAATCTAAATAGCATACGATAAGTCTGGTCGTGTAATCGTGAGATACAATAAGCGGCCAACTAAGCGCCGATAACTGGTAGGGTCATCAAGGGGAGGTCCATCAGACTTGTTGATCTTGAGGTTTTGAACCATGGGAAAAGTGACAGGTTTGGAGCCAATAAGACCGTAGTCGGCAATAATTTCTAGGGCATACTTGTGCTGACATAAAGAAATCCCTTTGGAAGAAGGAGCAACTTCCAAACCCAAGAAATATTTGAGAGAACCTAGATCTTTGGTTTTGAAGTTACTATTGATAAAAAATTTAAGATCAGCAATGGAAGCACTATCATTCCCAGCGATGATAATGTCGTCAACATAGACAAGAAGAGCTGTAAAAGAGGTGCCATGTACCTGAGTGAAGAGAGAATGATCACATTGAGCTTGTTGAAAACCATGGTCTATAAGAGTGCTGGACAACTTAAAAAACCATTGTCGAGAGGCTTATTTTAAACCATAAAGTGATTTGTTAAGACGACAGACTTGATTCTCCCCCTTATTAGAGAAACCAGGCGGAAGAGACATGTACACTTCTTCATAGAGATCACCATGAAGGAAGGCCTTGTTGACATCAAGTTGGTGTAATTCCCAATTTTTTATGGAGGCAACGGCCAAAAGACACCGAACAGTAGCCAATTTTGCTACAGGAGAGAAAGTGTCGTGCTAGTCAAAACCCCATCGTTGGGTGTAGCCTTTGGCAACTAAACAGGCTTTATAACGCTCAACAGAGCCATCAGACTTATGTTTGATTTTATAGATCCACTTGCAGTCGACAGGATGCTTGTTGGGAGGGAGAGTAGTGATTGTCCAGGTATTGTTTTCCTCGAGAGCTTTAATTTCAGAGGCCATGGCAGCACGCCAATGAGCATGTTGGATAGCCTGCTTAAAGGTGTTAGGTTCGACATAGGAAGAAATAGCCAGGACAAAGGCACGGTGAGTAGAAGATAAACGATCGTAAGAAAGAGATAAGGAAAGAGCATGAGGAGTACCTGACTATTGAGGGCCCGTCCGCATAGGGGATTGTTGAGATGGGGCAGGAGAAGACGCCAAATGACAATGATAGTCTTGCAAGAATTTGGGTGGTTGCTTGGGTCGGGAAGACTTCCATGTATTGGAGGGTTCGGGTGGTGTGGGTAAAGAAGGAGGTGAGGTCACGGGTGAAGGTAAGGAAGATGGTAAGGCTTTTTGTACGAGTTCAGGAACGGGACGAGGAATGACAACTGAAGAAGTGTCGGGAGGATGATCTTGATAAGGGAATATGTTTTCATGAAAAATGAAATCCCGAGAAATAAAAAAATTATTGGTATCAAGATCAAGGATTTTGTAGCCTTTGACGCCATATGGATATCCTAAGAAAAGACTACGCCTAGCATGAGCATCAAACTTAGAATGATTTTTGGCATTGGTGGAAGCATAACATAAGCATCCAAAAACACGCAGGTGAGAATATGATGGTGGAGAAGAAAAAAGAAGCTCGTAAGGTGATTTACCCAAGAGAAGCGGAGTGGGAATGCGATTGATGAGATAGGTGGCTGTAAGAACACAGTCACCCCAAAAACGAAGAGGAAGATTGGCTTGGAAACGGAGTGCACGAGCAACATTGAGAATATGTTGGTGTTTGCGTTCAACAACACCATTTTGTTGAGGTGTGTCGACGCAACTGTGTTGATGACAAACCCCTTTTTCAGCAAAAAAAATCTTGCATATTGAATTCATATCCATTATCACTACGCACTTGTTTAATATGTTTATTGAATTGAGTATAGACAAGTGCAAAGAAAGATTGAAGAAGAGAGCGAGTTTCAAATTTGTAGCGCATAAGATAAACCCACGTGCAACGTGTGAAGTCATCAACAATGGTTAAAAAAATTTGAGAACCATCATGAGAAGCTGTAGAGAATGGTCCCCAAATATCAACATGAATTAAATCAAAGGCATGTTTCGATTTAATGGAACTTATTGGAAATGATAAACGAGACTGTT